GAAGAACTCTGCTCCCTGCCTTGAAAGAGAAGAAGAGTGGTTCAACATCCCTATGGAGAATGAAAGAATTATCTTTGACAAGCCCTTACAAGTTTCATTTCCCTAAGTGTATTTGTCTTTGTACAGAGACAACATGCAGTAGTACCTTTCCCTTAGGAAAAGTCCCTTTTCATCAGTCCCTTTACTTGAATATAGTGAGTCCACCCCTCTCCTGGTAAGGACCCTCCCAGTCTGGCTGAGTCTGACCTCTTTCCAGGTCTTGATCAGCACCAAGTCTCCCAGTCAGAAGTGATGAATGGTGAATTTGAATGGAGTGGTTTGGACCAAGACTCCTTTTAACCTGAGGGTTAGCAAAACAGAAAGGTCCAGCACGTAGTTTCTCAGGAATTGATCTCTAGTTTCTATGATGGGTAGGTCTGTGGTCCTTCACAGGTAGGGGGTGCTATTTATGGTGGAATGGTGCTCCTGTAGCAGTGAATGCCATTCAACCTTTCAGCTTCAAAGACTCTTGAGAAGATTTTTGAGCATGAAGATATGCAGGGATAACACATTCTCACAACAGAATTTACTACATTATTTCTCTTTCCTCAAACTAAAAGAAGCATTACTGGCTCTATAATCTTTAGGCATGAATACAGTACTTCACTTAAAAACTTCTCAAACAGGAATGTCAATTAAACATACTTTAACATTATAACCTTGTCAAATGAACTGAAACTCACTCAACACTCATGGCTACAGCACAGTATCCTTTTCCTTCTCTTAACAAGACAAAATACATGCATACATGGGGGCTCAAATTTTAACAACAACAACAAAATATGTTTTCAACTCAGAAGGAGCATTGGTACACCAAATATCTTTTAAAACATATTATCTGAAATATTAACGTAATTTTTTAAAAAAATAAATCAAACACAAATAAAGTCTTGAGTAATGTACAATGTTAAAAATTTCTATCACACCAGCCAAACAAATCCTTAACCACTTTTAAAATGGGTTAATTTATACTATTTTACTGAAGAAAGAATACCAAAGATATTAAAACAGAACAAAACAACTTTTCAGTGTCCAACTCACATTTAAATTTCACTTTGAATGTGCAAACTCAGAAATTTGTGTTGTAATTTCAAATAGTCTATGTCCACATTTATCTTAAGAATTATATTTCAAAACTACTAGAACAACAACAACAAAAATAGTTACTAGGCCTGTTGCCTTTTTTTTTTTTTTTTTTTAAACCATAC